AAAGTTGCATTAAACCAAAAACTGCATTCAACTCAGCTCTAATGTTACGAGTGTTATGTTCAATTTTTAAATAATAAGAATATAAAATTAAGTATAGATAAAGGGGAAAAAAAAAAGGAAAATGTAAAATTATGTTTGTTTTCTATTTTAATTTTTGAAAATAAAATAAAATCAATTTGTTAATATACGTTTTTTTATTTTTTTTAAATAAAAATTTAAAATTATTTTAAAATATAATTTTTAAAAAATTAAAAACCAAAATCAAAACAAAATTGTTTTAATGTTAAAGAAAACTTAATTTCATTTTATTAGAGAAAAAAGTTAGAGAATAGATGTATAAGTTTGGATATAAAAACGAAAGAGAAGTGTAAAGTTGTACTTGGTACAACGACATAAAACGTGAAGAGATCTGATTGAAACAAAAAATATATATATTTAATTATTATAAACACATTAAATTTTATAATTTCAAATTATTATATTTTACATCCTTTATAATACATTTAAAAAATAATAATATTATTATTTTGAATTAGATATATAATACTCTACTTTATAAACCCTCAATTAGAGAATTAGTGATTTTTTTATATATATATATACTAATAATCTTTCCCTCATACATAATAACAATGTATTAAACCATTAATTGCAAAAATAAACTTTAACAAGCAAATTTTAAATAATATATTTCAAAATTTCGTCACTGCATAAAGTACTTAAGGTAAACTTTCATAAATATTTAGATATTCTTTTTACAGTAATACAAAGGTTAAAATGGTTAGTAAATTCTCCGCATTACACAACACTGTTAATTGAGGAACTCAATTACCATTTCACCTATCAACATAATTACATTCATATAAAACATTAGTTACAGTTCTTCAAAATAATAAAAGCAACACTGGAGATGACTTCCTACAGAGCAACATAACTAAACAAAAAGAGTGGCTTCTATCTAGTACCATAAAGATCTATGTACAAAAAAATACTACCTACGACTAACCTTTGTCACTATACAAAAAAATAAAGTAGTATCAGTCCTACTCTAAATCCATATCTTCAGACTCATCGGTGATCAAAGGATCATAATCCTCTAGAATATCAATATTCATTTCCTCCTCCTCAGCTGGAGGGGGAATTGGTGGTGGTATGGGCTAAAAAGGATTATTATTATCTAAGTCAAGGGTTAGTCTAGTCCTTATGGTAATAGGGACACCACCTCTGGGTCCTGTCGCTCTCCTAAAAAATATAGTAAGTATGTTCGCAAAAGCATGGGTGTGTCTATCCCAATCGTGCTACCATCGATGTGGCTCCGGGCTAATGAGCCTAATCGTCATATTTATTGGGTGTGGAATCTGGGCCATCTCTCTCTGCTACAGGTGGTAACCGATCAAGTCCAATGAATACCGCAGGTACAGAAAAAAATAAAGAAAATAGAAACAACGATAAGGTGAGCAATAATTCATACATCACATTAAAATCAAACATCATAAACATTCACAAATCAATCACATTCCAACTCAAATATGAACCTAGTAGCTCACTGACCATGATATACGGTAAGAGCACAGTCAGGTACAGGAGAGTTTGTACAGTGGGATCCCCGACAACAGGTAGCGAACCTGAGCCTTTTAGGGCTTCCAACCACTACTCTTCCTATCCCCAAGTCCTCCTTCAGGTCTCCCCATCGTATTCCCAGAGTTCATAGTCTCTGATTCCCCATTTTGCACAAAATACCATTTTCGGATGAGTAATATATGAGTTCCTAAGTGATTTTTTTCTTAGAAAAGTCCTATATTTCTAAATTCTTAAATTTGTTTGAGAATGATTAAAGAAAAATTTCTAAGTCTAAATATTTTTTTTTTTTGACAGAGTTTCCCCTGTAATACGGATTTTTCAAAATTTTCCAAATATCTATTGCAATCAGAAAACTTTCCAATACAGTTTATACGAGTTCTCAATCCATCATTCAATCATTTCAATTTGTTTTCATTAAACTTTCCCATGAAAAACCACCATGCACATAAATGCTCACTCAAAGACAACTAATATCATATAACACAATTTATGTCTTAACGAAGTATCAAACATATATTTCCATTACCAAACACATAAGTAAACCATTATCAAAATTAAGCATATAAGAAAATCACAATCATCAATCATAACAAAATTTAAACAATTTCAACAAATAAGGTTAAATAAGTTTATGATGTAATCCTTACTACATAGCTCACCCCTTACCTTTTACGTCCACGTTTGTTCTCTCTAATGCTTGAAGTTGATTTTCGACTAAATCTATACACGTAATGAAACGCTAGTTAGAACCTTATAGTTCTCTGATTTTATCTCGTGTGAATTTAAACTCACTTTGTTTTGTTAATCCATTTTTTTGTAATATGTTAAGCTCACATTTATCCCACACTTAACTTAAAAAAATCATCCTAGTTGGTACACACTTAGAGTAGGAAGAATCCTAATGGCAAGCATGAATAAGGTTTAGTACTTTGGAATTTTCTAGAGTTATATAGACTGTTTTGGCATGAGGTCAAAATCCAAATTTCAATAACGTAATTATCTACAATATTGATGTAGAGGTCAAAGTCTAATTCGAAATAGATTGTGCAATAAAGTTGATCAAAGCCATGACAGGGAAATTTTCGAGCAGATTGCACAAGGTTCAGTGTTTTTGCCATAACTCAAGATATACTTAATATTTTAACATGAAACCAATTTCTAAATTTCAAGGGTTTGTTTATCTACAACTTTTATGAGGAATTAAGTTCAAATATCCTATAGAATAGTGCCAGTTTTTACGTTACAGTGGTTGTTTCTGACAGGGATCAACTACACTAACACTCTAAACATACCTTAGTAATCTGACCATATCTCACGCTACACATAAGATATTGACATGAAACCAATTTCTAAATTTCAAGCATACAATTTTCTACAACTTTTATGAAGGAGACGAGTCCTAATTTTACACTCATAAGTCTCAGTAAATCAAAATCTGTGACTGTTAAAACAGGTCAACCTCCCTAAGGTGACAGCTAGAACACCTGTTAGTAAAATGGACATAACTTGAGTTACAAATATCCGTTTGAGGTGAAACCAGTGGCTAAATTTCAAGTATTAAAAGGGCTACAACTTTAATGAAGACATAAACTCCTAATTCAGTCTATACAAATCCCAGAATTTAGTGAACAGTGACCTGCAAATTTGGGTTCTTAAGCTTTTAGCTCAACCACTTCTAATCCTCCATTCCAAGCATGATTCTAGTATCCTAGATGTAAAACCACAACAATAAAAGCAAGATAACACCCTTCCCATTCCTATTCAAGCTCATCCAAGTAAGAAGAGAAAATTAAATAACACTATTTTTAAAAAATAAAACCATACAAGTGTAGAGGAGGATAAAGGTAACAAGTTTACCTCTTGAAGCTTTTCAAAAAAATCAAATTTTAGCCTTAAAAATCAAGCTTAAAGGTGAGTAGTGTATTTGAGAGAGAAATGTAGAAAACTTTAAGGAAACTTCTAGAAGAAGATGCATTCTCTCTCTCAATCACTTTTTAAAAGTAAAAATTTAATTACTTTATCTTTTTTTTTAACTTAAAAATTTCACTTTTGCAAATGTATATATCTTTTTCAGTTTAATAGGTAGAGAAAATTTTTAAAAAAAATAGTAGAATATTTAGAATAATACTGAGATAGTCACTAAAATTTTAATTCACTCAAGTTGCTCTCGGATCGGTTCGTTTCTTGTCTGCGTATTAGACGTACTAAAAAATAAAATTTTAAAATTTATCAAATTTCATTGTAAAAATTCACTTTTCAAGATCTTTCTAATATTATTAGGTTCTCGTAAAATTTTTAAAATTTTACAGCTTTGTTTGCTATAGAATTAGATTCAGTTTGAAAATTTATTTATTTTTGCTAAGATTCTCGCAAAATAGGCTAATTTTAAGTATTTCCTAAAAGTTTCAGAAAAATTCTAAAAAATCACAAATTATCTAATGAATATAAAACTCTAAAGTTACATTAAATAATTCCTAATAATTTAATTCTTTTTTAAAATTTTGACAAAGGTTCTATCAAAATTTAGCAGACCACGAATACTGAGAATTAGGATGTTACAAGATATATTGTGTCTTTCAAAATATATTATTATATCTTTTGATTCTTGTAAAATATTTTTTAAAAGTTATTGATTTTAATTTTTTTCACTTATGAATTTTTATATAAAAATTAATACGTAATAATATTTAAGTTAACTATGTTATCATTTAATAATAATTAATGATTAACCAAAAAAATTAAAAAATACTTTTACAAAAATTAAATTCAAATATTATACCTTTATAAAAAAAATAGAAATATTATATATTTTGAGATGTTAAAAATATATTTAAAATTATTGTTCATTGTAATTATAATGTCAGTGTGACCTCAACTTATATAATTGTAAGGTGTTTGGTCATAGCTAAAAAATGTAGCTACCAATGCCCCAAAATGCCATAGCCACTAACCACGCATGCATATATTCATATTCTTCATTCGCTACTCTCTGTCTTATTTCTTCCCTATAAACGTGCCCTTCTTCACTCTTCCCTTTTTCTTGCTCTCAGATTTCAGCTTCTCTCTTCGTTTCGATTCTTGTGCATCTGGGTATGTCCCGTGATCTTGAAAGTTTTCTCCATCTCGATTTTTCATGCATACCCTTTTATTTTCTCATATTCTTCGACATCCTCATTGCTTTTCATGCCTCTGTTTTGCCCATTTGCTCATCTGAGTCGGACACTTGATTCAGGGGAAAATCTTTATTTTAGAAGATTTTGATTTTATAGTTTTTATCGACTGATAAAACGATTTGTTATGCCAAAGAAGACTTTTTTTTTAGCTCTCGATGAAGTTTTTTATTTTTTATTTTTTATTTAATTTTTTTGAGGAACTGTGTGATTTTGGGGTGGGAGTGAAACTTTACTCTTCTCTATCTGGCTATGATGAATGTAAGTCTCAAAGGGCTAGATCTAATTCAAGCGCTCTGGGAGCTTTTTTATGTGAAAATTAAGAATGACTCTATTATCTATCATCTCATTTCCAGCAAATATATATTTGTTTATTTTATTTTTTCTTGGGGTAGCAATTGGAACTTGCTGTGAAGAGTGGAATTTTGGTTTTCTGGTGTAGGTCAATGTTTTGGCCAGCTGTGTGTTTTTCCATCTTTTTTTTCTTCCGTTTTTCATGTGATCCTTGTGTCGGTTAAATCCAATGCATGCAGCTCTGTTTTCATGTTCGTGAGGGTGCTGATGTGTTGTATCATGTGATGTCATTATCATTAATTGCTTTTATTGGTGTCTTTTATTGCTGCTATATGTGCAGATTTTGCTGGTGTAGATAACGAGTGTAGATTCAGCAACTTGTTATCATTGCCAATATTCTAAGCATGTTTCTCAAATTCACATGTATTATCCCTTTCTTGTCACACTGCAGCACGTGCATAAACATCTCACTAGTCCCTTTGCTTGTTCCCCAATATCCTGTAAAAAAATAAATAGTATTGTATATATGGCATTCTGTTCTGTGCTAATTGTTCTCTGTTTTGAACCTTGAGGGTTTGGTTTGCCAGTAATTTAGCTCAAAGGCAATCCTTTTCCTTTTGCTTCTATGTATTTTGTGAGATGAAGTAATTTCTGATACTTTCTATTACAGCAGCAAGCAGTTTGTGATGAAGACTGAATAAGAGATTCATTTTTTCTATGAAGTCACTTAAATCATGGAGGTGTCCCATGAGAAAAATGAGTGTCTCGCCTAATGGTTTGTCTTCTTTTCTTTGAAGTTGTTAACTTTTGATATTTCTGAGGAGAATGTCTTGTGAACATATTTTCATTAAGGAATTCGTTTATAACTTCACTCTTTTAATCTGAATTTTCTTGGAACAGGGAAAATCAAGTTTGAAGATGAAACGGCTGCCTTTTATGGCAGTTGTTTGTACAGTATTGTTGTTTGTTGTTTATAGGACTATAAAGTATCAATATTACCAAGAAGAGGTATGAGATCACTTGTCGTAACTTGGGGCCAAAATGTTGATTAAGTTTCTATTCTGCATCAGGTTACTGCTGCAGTGTTGCTTTATCCAGAGTAGTATAACAATGCTAATATTTATTTTGATTCGGAAATTTGTGAAGCGATTCTGAAAAACATTAATTAATCAAACTTTTTGTTGTCATTAAAAGCGTAATAAAAAAGTATAGCAGCATAAAACCCTATCGCTTTATTTGAAAAATTTCCCACTTCCTAGTATATGGTGTGTCAAAAGCCACTTTTTGTGGCGGGTGGAAGCTACATGGCTTGAGCTTTGCCTTTCTTATAATGCATCAATGCATGACCTTTTATTCTTTTTTCCTGTTCTAATTTATATTTTTGTTCTCTGTTTTCATTTATCATTATCAGATAGACAAACAGTGGAGTATTTGGGGAGAAGAAAAGGTATACTTACTGATGCTAATCAGTTTTCTGTTTCTTGCTAAATTTATGCTTTGATGCATTTAGAACAAACAAAGGCTCTGCTAGTTATAGTGAATGATGGTTATGGCTGCATTCAAAATTTAATACACTTTACAATTCTTGCATGAATTTGATAATGTAACTTGATATGTATTTCTTTTTACATTGGTACTTTTGATACAACTGTGCAGGCTTATCCTGAAACTTCTGCAAAGCTGAAAAGCTTACCACGAGGCATAATACATGCTACTTCTGATTTTGAGTTAAGGCCTTTATGGTTGCCAAGTAGTTCTAGGTCAAAGGTCAGCAACTTTAAATTTTCTTTCTTTCACATTATAGTTCTATTTGAACTTACTAATGATGGCTAGAAGTTGGTATACTGTAATGGGCATGCCATCAGTTATCAAAGCTGCTTCACCTGTGCTAGCTAATTTAATGATTGCTTGGTGGTGATTATTTGACTGCAGGCTAGTGTTTACACCAATCGTAACTTGCTGGCTGTTCCAGTTGGTATTACACAAAAGCATAATGTAGATGCCATGGTGCAAAAGGTATTTTTGATGATTCATTCTGTTATCAAAATTGCTTGAATCAACATTCCTAATCAAGTTTCATTGATTTCAGTTTCTTCCAGAAAATTTTACGATTATTTTATTCCATTATGATGCCAATGTGGATGGATGGTGGGATCTTAATTGGAGTAGCAAGGCCATACACATAGCTGCTCGAAACCAAACAAAGTGGTAAGCAACTAGATTTACCGTGTTGGTTTTTTTTCTGTCTGAAAACCTTGTATTGTTAATTGAAGGGAGTTGGCTTTAAATATTGTCAGGAAACTAGGAATATATGGGGCATGTCATGTTTTAATCATGGAAGAGATATATTGAAAATTGAAATGTCTAATGGACTGGTAAATGAGTCAATTAGGTTATGCGATCATTAGAAGTTGGGAAATTAACTTTTTTGTCAATGCATTGAAATCACGGTCTTTATTTATTTTCCTTTTTCTTCATGGGAATCTCCACTCAAATTGGAAAAACATTATGGAGCAACATAATATCTCATTGAAACCATGTGAATCTTCTAGTTGTAGATGAGTTGGGTAATGTGCCACTGCCTGACCTTGCCTCTGTCAGTATTGCTTGGTTATGTATCCCTTTTTGGTCTGATGCATTGGCGTCCATGCCAAACTGCTGGTCCTCTTGCTTTTCTTGCCTAACATATGTGGTTTTGATTTAAATATATTATAAATGTCTATATGTCAACGATTTATTTTCCCAATTTATATATTAATTCCTGAATTCTTTCACAGGTGGTTTGCAAAAAGATTTCTACATCCAGATATAGTTTCTACTTATGATTATATCTTTCTCTGGGATGAGGATTTAGGGGTGGAGCATTTTTCTCCATCAAGGTATGACTGATAGTTTTGTTTCACTTCTCTGCTGGTAGTATATACTTTTACATTTATTTGCTTTTGGCTTCTAATACGAAGGTTCCATTTATATACCAGCTGAGGTACCAAAGATATTATAATGAAAAATAATCCTATTTTATTCAATTATATAATATGGTAGTTTTTTCTTTTATCTTAAACTGAATGAAAATTAACTTGAAAACTATAACATGTAGAAAATAAGATTAAAAAAGGTTCCTTAAAAGTGAATAGTGAGCATAAGCAAGGTAGATAAAATTGGGATTTTGCTTTGAATCATATAGGGGAGTGAAAATCGTAAATCAAATTGTAAAATTTTACACAATATATATATATATATATATATATATATATATATATATATATATTCATGTTATGCATATAAAATAAAATAAATTAGGGAAAAAAACCTTTAGATCAATAAAAGCACTTAAATAAAGTAGCACTCATAAATCATAATCCATATTCCATCAGAAAATCACTCCTCAGCATAAGTAAAAAAATAGAGCAGAACAGAAAAGATGCAAGAACAGCAGCACTAGACTCGATCTCAGAGCAGTAGCACACTGCTGGGTTTATTTACAGACCAGGCTGCACACACTGGGAGGACTGTTGAATGTTGACAATGGTGTTGGGGTCTGCTAGAGGCAAATTGGGTTTGGTCAAAAAGAGATATGAAAGAGGCACTACATTAGGGTTCAACAAAAGAGGCTTTTTGAGGAATTTTCAGAATCATTGTGAAATCCCACAATTTGAGGGATTTTACAATTCAAATTGGGATTTTACATCAATTTTCACACCCATGATTTAAATCAGTAAGGCTTCCAAAATTGTAAAATCCCACTATTTTACGATTCAAATCGGGATTTTAACTAGCATGAGTGTAAGAGGTGGGGCCTTTATATTCAATTTATCATGAAGCATTTCTCCGCTGTTTTTAATTAAAATAGAAAGCAAGATCAGGGCTTTAGGGAAACGAATTTATAGACCAAGTGAAGAATCTTCTTTCTTTCATAGCATAGATGTTTGATATTAAATCAATTTTATTTGATGTCAACTTGTGCTTTACCATGACAGCTTACAACCTGCTTCATCTGATCATAATATTAGTGGTTCACTTGATAATTTATACCCCTTGCCTCTATTGCAGTGGCAGTTCGATTACACATGCATGTGCCTGCATGTGTTATCTGTGATTGTATATATTGTTTAATGCCTTGTCTTGTTTCAATTTAAATACTTACACATATTGCTATATTGATAATGTTTTTTAGATAAAAGGCAATATTGAGTGTTTTTTTCAAGCTATATAATGATTTCTCTGCCTATTTGATGTTTAATTCAACTTGCACACATGATAAGCTCTATCTTACCCTTTATTAGATTAATAAAGGTCACATTAGGTTACTTAGTAATCTTTGCTGGTCTGGAAAGGTAAAAAGAAAGATAATTGGTTGGGTTTTATTCATTCTTGTTTTTCTTGTATAGACTAGTCAATCATCTCATGACAATTTTTATCTCACATCAGAGAAAGAATTAGTTAACATGGGTACCTGTTTTTTCACAGATACATTGAAATTGTGAAGGAAGAAGGATTGGAGATATCTCAACCAGCTCTTGACCCAAATTCGACAGAGATACATCATAGAATTACAGTTAGAGCTAGGACCAAAAAAGTTCATAGGTGACTTGTTGTCAAAGGCTATTGATATGTACTTGTTAATGAATTGTCATACTTAAGCTTGAGTTTTCATACATGCAGAAGAGTCTATGAACTCAGAGGCAAAACTAGGTGTTCAGATGCAAGTAAAGGGCCTCCGTGCACTGGGTAACTCTTACTTTCTTTGAACCTAGGAATGCTGTGTATCTTTTCAAGATGATGTGCATTCTGTAATCTGGATCTTATTCCTGTGGTGTTATCATGCTTCTTTCTGCCATCAAGATGGTGGATGTTTAAATTTAATCAGTCAACGTATTAAAATGGGAACTTAACAAAATAACATTTTATGTTTTGGAGTTTTATGATGCTTATTGGGTGTATCTATAAACATGTTATGAATGAAACTGAAATTTCATTACAACTTGGCAGGTTTGTGGAAGGTATGGCCCCTGTTTTCTCTCGATCTGCCTGGTATTGTACTTGGCATCTTATACAGGTGATTTTCCATGGTGCATAGGAATTGCAAAAATTCTAAACACAGACAACACCTGAAATTCTTTCAAAGTTATTCTAAGTTGTCTCTTTTACGAAGCAATTGCATGTTATCTACTCTGGTGTAGTGTTATGAACTAAGATTGATTGATTTTAAGTTAGGAAGCTACATAAAAAGATGAAAGTATATTATTTATAACTATCTCCAGGTCTGGAAATTTTTTGGAATTCAAGAACAACTGAGAATTGAGCTCCCAGCCTTAGCTTGCCCCCACTCATAACCACTCTCTACAATATTGTCCTCTTACTACTCTTTTGTGTTGTTGTTTTTCATCTTCCACTACAATTCTGTTAGGCTTATTTCTCTCTTATTTTCACTCGGTCATTCTCGTCATCACTTCCTTCTTCCCACTCATTACTCCCATGATACTCCTTTACCAACTCTTCTTATTGGTCCGTTATCTATGATTGACACTACTATTCTTCCCTGTTCTCTATTTCCCTTATCATTTGTCCTAATACCTTGCTTGTGTCTTCTAGAATTAACTTTGGTTATGGACCTAACATTCACTTTCTTTTTTGTTTTAAAGAAAATTCATTATTTAATATACTCAGCATTAAGTTACTTAAGGTTACAATATACTTGCAAATAGGTTTTTGTAGATGAGGTTTTGGATCAACACTGTGCTCTCATCTAACAAGTGAAAATAAAACTTACTACAATAGTCCAATTAACTTGGATTTTTTTGCATTTTACTTTGGTTGATGTTCTTATGTAGTTTAACTTTGTTTCTTTGGTAATTTTTAGTATTCATTTTTTATCTTTTGGATTGGTTATAGATCAAAATAGTCCATAGTTTTGGTAAAATCATTATCATTTTCATTTTCTCAGAATGACCTTGTCCATGGATGGGGAGTGGATATGAAAATAGGATATTGTGCTCAGGTGAGAATTAGACATTTTCTTTAAAAGGTTTATAACTATTCATGAGTATCATTAGCAGTGAAATCAATGTCATTTTTCAGGGAGATCGCACTCAAAATGTGGGAGTTGTTGATAGTGAATATGTTGTTCACAAGGGAATACAAACTCTGGGTGGTAGCACTCATGATACAACTAGAGTATTTTCCTCCTCTCTCCCAATTTTGAATTAATTTTGTATACATTAGCTTCATTGCTTATTTACACTCTTTGTTTCCTAAGAAAAGCATTAGTACACAAACACTTGTATTCACCCTTTCGGGCAAATCCTTGGGATTTTGCATAGGGCTGCCTTTTAGGAATGAGTGATCTTCGGTACACATTTATTAACATTCAGCTTTGCAAAAGAGGTTTCTGTTGCACTATATAATTTATGTCAATAACATGAGCACATTGAGTTGATTATTAGTGTTTATACAATGTATGCAAACACTCCCTCCCCCCCCTCTCCTTCCCCTTCCCCTTCCCCTTTCTCTTCTTTCGATACCAGGCCGTATTCTTAGAAACAAACACGGCTGGTACATATATATTTTATCATTCATTTATTTTATTTACAAAAGGTGTTCTTTTTACCAGTTGTCCTGCTTGGTAGTCATCTCTCCTTAGGGAGATCCCTTGATGCCTACTGGCTATGGATGAGCAGTTTCAATTGGGAAATCCTTTGAACGATTTCCCTAGATTGGCATGCCCTTTGGAATCCTAGACATGTCATTAATGCCTTTATTGATAGTATTGGAGTGACACATCCTTTCTAACATTTTTGTTCATAAATGGGTCTGTAAATTGAGGTGTAGCAATTCATTCTTGTTTCTTTTATGTTTTTGATTTAACCTCTTCCAGATTCCACTTTGATAAGCAATATTCTATAAGCAAAAACAAGGAACACAAGAATATAGGATGAGTTGAATATTAACTGGACCACGAATCTGCAGAAGTAATTTTTCTTTCTTCTCTTTCCTTTTGCAGGTTTCAAATCGTAAAAGGAGAACTGTGGTACAGTTTTTAATGGCATTTAAAGTGTTATTCCCTATATCCTATTTCATTTACCAACACAGTCAATCCTAACTTCATTTTCTTGCTGATGTTGTTTCCTAATCAGAGACACGGTGCAGCGGCCTTTGATCAGCGAATTGAGGTGAGGCATTTTAAGTGATTTCAAACGAAGTCTTGTATTGATCACAAAGAAGCTTGCAAATGTCCTTCTTTACATTGTAACATGTACTGAGCAGATACGAAGGCAATCAACATGGGAACTTCAAGTTTTTAAAGAGCGCTGGAATCAAGCTATTGCTGAGGACAGAAACTGGGTTGATCCGTTTAAGAGTGATCAACGACGAATGAGACAAAGGAGGAATAGCCAACGGTTCTTTTAGCAGTTATTTAACTAACCTGGTTTGATATTTTAGCCCATCTCCATTCATAGGGCTTTAGTTTTATTTGTAGGCATAATTTAGTTTTTTTAGCTGAATGAATTCTCAATTCGTTCAATTTTGGATGCTCATATTTCCTTATATTCTTTTGTTCTTTCCATTCATGTCAAATACTTTCCTGTCTCTCTTTTTTTTTATACGTGTCCTTCATATTTCTTATTTTGATGTAATTATCATATATGCAGCCTTGGATTTTATCATTAATGAAGAAGCTTCCATCTTCTTACAGAGTTTTTGGTTTTGGTCGTGTAAGACTTAAGATTTAACTGAACTATGCCGCTTATACTTTTTGTATGTTGGGTACAGGCAGTGGCAGATCTAGGACCCTAGATCTGTGGGAGTATATTCAATTAAAAATAAGAATTAACAATTATTATGATATGAAGATAAATATAAACATACAGAACTCAATTTTGAAATACACTATTTGCATTGTGGAAAAGTGAAAGAAAAACTACGAAGAAAAACAATGGTAACAACGATTAAGTAGCATGTTTCTTTTATTGTCTTTATTGAAGTTATTATTATGTAGAACACAGGAGGAAGTATGTATAATAATTCAGAAGCTTGGAAGGTAAAAATAGTGCTCGAGACAAGTTTGGATTTTGACTAAAATTAAAATATAATTTTGGACTAATTTTAGTGGATTTATATATAATTAAATTTAGATTTAACGAATTTAAAGTTTTGAAGCTAGAGTCTAGTCTTAATGAGTCTAAATATAGTTGAGTTTTAGTTTAGTGACTTCAAAATTATAAAAATGGGAGATGCAAAATATGAAAAAAAATTCATTATTTATATATATTTTTTTTCAAAGTGAGGAGTGCATTTATCCATCTTTACACGTTTACTTCAACGATATTTTCATTAAATTCACCTTTAAAATATTTTCTAAAACTCAAGAACCAATGGTTTTAAAATGATATTTGCATTAAATTTGCTGTTTATAACCCCCTGCCTTGTTGAGGAAGAGAAATTATTCTTAAGGGCACGCTTGTCTTTACTGTATGGAGCCAATTAGAATTAACAAAATTCATAAGAAATGTTAATTTTTATTAAAAGAAAAGTGATGTATGGTTAGAATGGAAGGCTCTGCTTTAATATGCGGTCATGTTTAATATAATTTTGTTGATTTGTTACAATGACTAAGCAACGTTGGTTGTCTTGCATGTCTGCATTAGAGGGCTTTTTAATTTTTCATTTAATAAGGTACAAATTAAGGGTAATTTATGAAAACTCATATATAGTTGCGTTGTGAATAAAGTACTGTGTCATGATCACACCTTACAATATTGTTTTTCAAATGGAATTTTACAAATGTCCACAGCACAATTCCAAATGTTTGATACCTAACAAATGGTTGACACAATCACATCGCTTTAAATCAAACTGCTCTTTGGAGCTCATTTGTGAGTCCTCAAGAACCCATGCCACCTCAAACATGGTTGGATCAAGCTAAATATTGAGGCAGGTTATTTAACAATGGAAGCACAGTTTTTAGATGTATCCTCATAGATCGTGATGTTTGGATGCTCCTAATAAGCATGCTATTGTTCCTCTTCTCCAATTCATTTGCTTCCAGATATGGTAAATATGACCCTGAATCAATTAGAACCTTTCAGTAAGATATTGTTTAATAATAAAATGAACGTGTTTTAAGAATGAACAAATAATATTTGACAAGTTACATGGGCATCTATGATGCTTGCCTGAGAGAATTTGGCACCCAATGGACAATGTTGCATACATTTTATATTCATGTTCTTATGTGTTAGGAGAAAGAAAAGTTAATCTCTTTCTTTCCACATCCTTCCTTATATCAACCACCCTTTCATGAGAGTGCAAGGTTAGATGTGTGTCGGAATTTTCATTAGGAGAATAAACATAAACATTTATCCATATCATGATTTTGTAACCCAAAAAATAAAAAATCATGATTTAGAGATTTTTAACTAAAATGTAAACATGTTTTAGGAACAACATTTCCTTCTTTAAGTACAATTTCTTCGTCCCTTTTCCTGGTCTTTGTTATTTTAAATAAATTGTTCAAATTTATTTAGATTGAATTTAGAGTGGGTATCTTTAATTAACGTTTAACTTTTTATTAATTATAATGATTTTTTAAGAAACAATTTTACATTTACAAGAAAGAGTAAATAAACTATTCAGACAGCACCACTTCAAGTATTGGTCTTTGAAAATCATCGATAATTTTTCATATAAAAGTAGAGTAACAAATCGATGATTAATTTAGAGTGAAAATTATGTTTGTTTAAATTGTTTCTTTATCTAAATGTGAGTTGTGTTTGTTATTTGTATGCATTTTTTAAATTCGTTGTAATGGATTTTCTCACTTATCAAAGGAACGAAAAAGAGAAAATTTTTATTTTTTAAATAAGCACTTGTATTATCATCTGGTTGCAAGTTGCAACAAGAAACACTGCCATCCTGCTTAGAAAAAGACGCGATTTTGAATAAAAGCTTTGGAAGACCTGAGGGAACCAAAATTTGAAATTTTGTCTTGTTTCTAACAGCAAAATATATATTTGGACAAAAAAGATTGATTACCTTTTCTTTTTAACGATGGGTAAGATGCATTATTTCAGAAGAGCATTTGATTACGCCTATGTCCTCAAATGCGGTTCAATTAATTTTGAATTTACTATTAATAGACTAAAAATTTTGAAAATTACAATATCCATAGCTTACTCGATATTACAAGATCACTTTTATTTTGTTTATTAATAATCACAAAAAATTGTTTATTAATATTTTATATAATAAAAAAATAATATTTTATTAAAAATATGATGATATACTCCTCTGATAATTTTTATTACATTTAAATTTTTTAATAATACTTTTTCGTTTATTAATTCTTTAAAAATATTTAAGGCATGATTAGCAAGATTTTCTTTTACAAAATCTCAAATCTCCCAATTATATTATATATTTTAATATGCCGGAAAGCCAAGATGAAAGCAGTGGGTGTGTGTGTCTTTATTTTCTTCTGTGTTAAGCTGACCAAAGACAAATCCTTCGTATCTGTTGCTGGAATTTAAGTCCTTCTTTTACAACCCTTACTTTACCTTCCTCACCTTCTAATTCTATAATAAGTTCCACACTTTCAAATCTCAGCACTCCAAAAATCCTTTCTTTTTTTATTACCCATTTGATTTTTTTCCCTGCAGAGTCTCTGATCTCTGCATTCCAATTCTCATGGCTGGTCGCTATGACAGTAACCCCTTTGACGAGGAAGAAGTTAATCCCTTCTCTGTAAGTTTTTCTTCCTGAGTGTCCATCACCGTTGCTTTTTAATCAAAGTTGAGATTTTGTGAACTGGGTATGCAGTTTTGTGTTGAACTTGATTTGATCCTCTTCTGGGGTGTTTGAGCCTGCAAATATGGTCAATTTTTTGTTTCTGAAATGTTGTTGATTTTAGGTTGACTTGTTCGATACTATAATTGATGTTGTTGAGGAAACCGGTTTTTGGGGTTGTTCGTAATTTTTATATATATGTTTAGTTATAGTTGTCCTTGTTTCTTCATTTAGGGTTTTGTGCTTTCTGATGATGTTTTGGCCTTAAGAAGTTGCCTTTAGAATTAAGCTCAAACTTTCTGGGTCACGTCTTTCACATGTTCTTGAGATTTGCTTGCAGATGCAGATGCTGTGTTTCTTAACTTTAGAGTGTTAATAACTTGTAGTGAATTAACTATTAAGTAATTGTATCATAAGGGGTGATGGATTCTGGAAGTTTTCAAATCCATTTTTCATTTAAAGAAAAAAATGTGAAACTCCTCTCCACTTAGGATCGAATATCAACTAGAGACTGAAATTCCTGATAATGATTTATTTCAAAGGGATGGTGAGAGACAATTTCCCTTTAAGCTTTGTTTGGGAGTTTGGAAAGAGAGGGAAGGAAAGGGTTTGAAGGGTGAGGGAGGAGAGGAGAAAGAGGAGAGTTAATAAAAAATATCCCAAATTGAGGATTTATAAAACCTCCTACTCTCATCTTAAAACTCCCAAACAATGGTTATCATCAAATAAGCCTTCTCCTTCCCTGCAAAAACTAACTCCCAAACAAATTGAAGGGTAGATAGTGGTGTGTGTGGGTAACAATAATTTGAAAATATACAGATTATATTAAGTTGTTCCAAATGTTATTGTGTGTGTGCACACACTAATACAATAGGGTAGCATTTTACAATTATCAAAAGTAGAGGAGCTGAATTGGATAATGAAAATATTGAATTCAACTTCTCTAAAATCAAGGAGTAAAACACAATAGGGTAACTGCTAGTGTAAAGTAAAGGAGTGTGATTGCTGTTTATGAATAAAGGTATTTAAGATCATTAATCTTTACATTAACAGCCACCCCACGTTTTACTCTTTAAAGTAGGCCATAGGTTTGTGCAGATCTTTTCTAAATCAGATTGTACATTATTATCTCATTGTAAGCTCTTAGAATATCTGAGAGAGATTATTGGAACAAAAATTGAAAATAAAAGCAATGTCTGTGACTTATAATTTGTTCATAGAAGTCAAAATACATATTTGAGTGCCTTATATGGGTGTACATTCTCTATGTATATTCTTAATGTTTAAAATTAATATTGTTATGCTAATGGACTATGAGGAGGCAACGATTATAATAATTATTAATTTATGATCTTCTCAATTTGGGAATTAGAGTTGATAGTTGGGGATTTCAGAATTCAGTTGTTTGGGGTGTTGGGATGATTGTTCCCTACTGGAATAGTTATATGTTTACTTCAAATTTGGTATGAACTAACATAATCCAGCTGTAAGGGGAAAGACATCAAGCCATTCAAACTTCAGTGGGGGTTCCTTTTACATTACGCTGAGTTTATTAATCAAACATTAGTGAATCATAATTATTAAAGTCAATGGAATTTCGTTTTGATGACTAAGAAAGTCACAAACATAGGTTATGATCAGTGGTGTATGTAGGAGGATAGAGGGAGCACAACTTTTATTCATGTGTGCAGCTGTGTGAGTAATATACAGATTTTTTTGAGAATATTCTAAATTTGTATTCAGAATTTTAAAATCATATTATTTTAATGAGTGACATTGCTAAAGGAAAAGGTAATGTCAAATATATCTTAATTTTTTTTCGATCATTACACATTAGGTTTACAAATAATTGAGAAGTATTGTAAGCCCACAAACCAAAGGTCTTTACAGGTCAATGATCATAGAATAACTACAAGTCGCAATAATGATATCCAGAGCTGTGTTTGTGATGTTTTTATAGGTGCATGATTGTGAATTTGTGATATTGAATTTTTATAATATGGAAAGAACAGATAGATGAGAGAAGAAAATTAAATGTTATGATAACTAGCGAAACATTAGGTGAGCTAAATTATTGAGCAAGGTAGTTAAAATCAGGATTTTACTTTAAATCATAAAAGAGAGTGAAAATCGTAAATCGTAAAATCGTAAATTGAATCGTAAGATTTTATAAATTCATATATATGATATAAATTCATGTTATTCATATAAAATATCATAAATTAAGAGAAAAAAGCTTTAAATCAGTAAAAGCACTTAAACCATGTAGCACTCACAAATCATAATTTATTCCATAACAATGTAATGCATTTACATGAGTAAAAAACAGACCAGAACAGAAAATATGCAAGAACAACAACAATAGATTTAGTTGTAGACCAGGTTGCATGCACTAGGAGGACTATTGAATGTTCACAACAATGTTAGGGTTCAAAGCTGCTAGAGGCAAATTAGATTCCATAAAAAGAAGATATATGAAAGAGGCATCAGCTACGATAGGGTTCAACAAAATAGACTTTGCGGGAAATTTTTTAAATCGAAGTGAAATCGTGAAATCCCATAATTTGAGGGATTTTATGATTCAAATCGGGATTTTACAAGGATTTTACTCAATTAGGATTTTATCCACGATTTAAATCGGTGAGACTTCCAAAATCGTAAAATCGTAAGATTTTAAGATTCAAATCGGGATTTTAACTACCTTGTTATTGAGGAAATAGAAGAGGTCCCTTGGAGGTGGGGGGCACCTGCTCTGCTGCACCTTCTCCCTAATACATTGTGGAATCATCTTATCAGTTTAACAAAGGAGGAAATTCGAGTTTTCAGTTTCCACTACCTTGTAATGGCTACATCCCATCTTAATGTGTCATAATGATTTTAAAATGTCAGAATCCTGGAAGTGTTCCTCCTGCCACAAATTCAAGGCTTTCACCTCTTAAGCCAGAGCCTGTTGATTATAATTATGGGTTTGGTGCAACAGTTGATATACCTCTTGATACATCAACGGTATGTATAAAATTGAGATTGTTGAAATCCTCAGTTTTTTCCCCATTTATTATGTGTTGTTGGAAGTATTGATTGTGGTTTTGCTAATTATGATCTATTTCCACATAGGATTTGAAAAAGAAGGAGAAGGAACTTCAATCCAAGGAAGCTGAATTGAGAAGAAGGGAACAGGTATACCAATTTCTTGTTATCTCTTTGTTGGTTTAGACTTCCCTTAGTTGATATTTACTGCAATTGGGAAACTTTCCCTTTGAATGGTCTTCTTCCCCCCCCCCCCCTTTATGGAGAGTTCCATTTGCATTTCTTCTAACCATCCTTCAATTTCCAACTTTTTCCTTTGAGTGGTCTTCTTGACCCCCATGATATAATTCTGTTAAGTTTTTCCTTTGGGAAAAAAGTATTAAAAGTGGACAATACATATATTTGGGAGAGTTACAATTTGAAAAGACATGGGGAAAGCATTTCCAGTTGGGACTGGGTAATGATACTTTGACTACATAAACTACCGATTTGGTTAACTATTAACTTACTCCATTTAAGATATTGAATCTGATCAATTCAAATGTTTGATTAAAATTTTTTACTAAGTCGATCAAGCATAAAAAAAATTATACAAATTAAAAAATAGTTAACACCTCATCAAACAACTTTATTTTAATGTATCATAATGTTTTTTAAAATATTAGTAAATATTTGCTAAAAGACTACTCAATTAACTAAAATTTGATATGCATGATCATCATAATATGATCTAGTGGTTTGATTTTTTGAATTAGTGTTTTATAAAAATTATTAAATGAAGTGTCCAATGTGTATCTACACACACACTGATTGATTATATTACCTGGATTTTGGATATGACACAACTTGAATTTGAATCGAGTCTGATTGATAATAATACCTGAAACTTGGATATGAAGAGGGCATCTGACTTTGTTATGATCAGAAAAACAGTTTGGTCCATGGAAATATGGGTTGTGTTAACTTAAGGCCACTCATCTTATCATGCCATCGTCTATTCAATATTTAGAATGTTCTTGCTGATATTTGTTCAGTTAACTTTGTATGAATAGAGGTTTGTCTACTGACTTTTTGAATCAGTTCAAATGCCTGGAAATTCATTTGTACTTTTTCTTTTGATTTATCAAAATTCAGGAAGTGAGACGGAAAGAAGAAGCTGCTGCACGAGGTAACAAACATCTCCTGATTTTGTATTTGAAGTTTGGGCTTAATTTGTTTCTGCAACTGTTGAGGATGATAATGTTGTTTGCTTGCTTTATCAGTTTTAGAAAACAATTGTCTCTGTTTCTTTTTCTTTTTGTGGGTGTGAACAGGGGTGGGGGGTGACTTTTGTTTGTGTTGGCATTCATTTGGATAGTGGAAGATAGTAATACTGCAGAATTCTGTAAATGTCTTTGAACTATATGTACTGATTTAATATTGCTTATTTATTCTAATAGATATTTACATTTTGTTTTGCAGCTGGAATTGTGCTTGAGGAGAAGAATTGGCCACCGTTTTTCCCAATAATCCATCATGATATTGCTAATGAAATTCCTATTCATCTTCAAAAGTTGCAATATGTTGCATTTACTACCCTGTTAGGTATGTTATCCTCTTGTTTGTTTATTGTTTTGGGTTGGGGGGGTGGTCTTGATTCCTATTGTCGAATTGTTTTTCATTCTTGAGGCTGTTTCATGGACATTTATTATTATTTCATTCTTTTATTTTCAATCTTTTCTTGATTAGATTTTATTTCAAGGATCCTTTGTACATTCTCTGCAAATGATATAGTGTTATGTTTGGTTCCTTTTGATTTATGCTTTGTACAAAAGTTAATTAAAGGGAGATGTTTCTTCTTAATTTTTCTTATTAGCATCAATGGCAAAACCTTTACACCTTATACTGAAAAGTAACATTTGGGAACCTTTTCTTCTTTTCTACCACCTAAATTTTCTAAATGAAAGATTTATAATGAAACTTAAGCCATGAAGAGAGGTGAGATACTCTGAATCACTAGTTTTGTCTGAACGATTGATTTGAAACTGTTAACCTGGATTCTTGGAACTAATTAGTTTTATTGAGTATGATTGTGGCCTGATAAATGCATTCTCTATTTATTTGTTCTTAGCACGATGACATATTTTGAATTAATTAGTTACAATAAATGTATCAATCACGCTTCTGTAAGTCATGTAATTTTATACCCCAAAAATTATGTAAGCATTAGGTGTGGTTCACTGTCACTGATAAAAGGTTATATTATGCAGGATTAGTGTTGTGCCTTTCATGGAATGTTATAGCTGTTACTGCAGCTTGGATTAAGGGTGAAGGTGATTTTAGATACTTAGAAGATTTTCTGGGGTTTTTACACAGCTCAAATTACAAATATGACATTTCCAAATTCCATTGATGTGAAATTTGGCCTTGTTTGTTGCAGGTGTAAAAATATGGTTTCTTGCCCTTATCTACTTCATAGCAGGGGTTCCTGGAGCATATGTTCTGTGGTATCGTCCATTATATCGTGCTTTTAGGTAAATTTTTCAATGCATTCATGCATTTAGCTGCTTTTTACCCCCCTATTATATTATGCAACTGCAAGTAGCAATCATTTCTTTTATAACTTGTGTAGCAAGACTAAATGTAATTTTTGAAAACTGAGGCATGCTTTGAGTTTTAATTATGCAACCTTGGGGTTTTATGAGTGTTATTGTTGTGTCCATAATTAACAAATTGCTGAAGTAAACAAATTTATTGTAGTTGAACTTGTTTCTTTCCATTTATTTTTTCTTTTTTCTTCTTGAATCATTTAATGGGTTATTCATCCAATTGTGAGACAGTGAAACTATACCATTTGTTGGTGTTGACAAATTTTGAAATGTCCCTTCAGAAAATTATGCTTTATTCTATGAAGCATTCATGAGAAGAATAGGCAAATATGATTGCATATTTGATCTTTTATAATTGGTCATACTGTAGATTTTGAATATGCTGCCCTTTTTTGCAGGACTGAAAGTGCTTTGAAATTTGGATGGTTTTTCCTGCTTTATCTGGTACATTGACTATACTTCTTAATTCGCAAAAGCTATGCTTTAAAAGCTGGCAGAAAACTAATCTTCATTTCTTCTTCTGCTTACAGTTTCACATAGGATTCTGCATTTTAGCTGCAGTTGCACCTCCTATAGTTTTCAAAGGGAAATCCCTGACGTATGTCAATTTCATATGTACTCTATTTAATATGCCAATATTGCTTATATAGCTTTATTTTTGTAACAAGGAGACTAAGCATTCAAATCATTTTCTTTGCAGAAGATATGTTTCCTTTTTCCATTTCCTTCTCTAAAATAGAACTAAATGATGATATATGAGAAGAAGGACTTTATGACGTGCATCATTACCCTCCCCCCGAATTACCTGATTTGAAATCTGTTATATATATATATATATGTGCTAGTTGTTAATATCAGTTGGTGTTTAGTGAGTTGTTGATATGTGTTAGTTCGGCTGAGATAGAGAAGAATTACGGAATATTGCTTATAAATAAGAGAGGTTGAGTGAGACGGAGATCTTGTCATTTGTGAGGAAACTGGGTCAAAGATCTGCAGTGCCGTAATGCGGAAGATTGTCCATATTCTTTGCAACAAGATACCCTGTTTATATCAAAATATAAGTGGTGATAGACTAAGAATATGAAACCTGTAGCTGTTGACATGATGGTGACTGATAAAATTTGTGATTTAATGGGTGTGTTTCATATTTTCAAGAGGCTGAAATTATTCTAATTCTTTTAACTTAGTGGTTGACTCTGTCCTCTCATTGGTACAGGGGCATTCTGTCTGCCATAGATGTGCTGGGCGATCATGCTTTGATTGGGGTAAAAATGCATTGTGAATTTTTTTATTCCCACATCTTATTTAATTGTCAACTTCATTGTGACATAATCTTTTTGCAAATACTGCTAAATGCAACCTAAATAATTTTTTGCTTCGGAATGATTGATCTTTTATTATGCTTGTCTGTAGATCTTCTACTTCATTGGATTTGGATTATTCTGCATTGAAACATTGATCAGCATTTGGGTTATTCAGGTTTGATTACACTTTGCTAGGTTTCCAATTATTTTAAGCACATGCACCCAGCATTTGGAATGGCATGATTTCCTTATCCACGTACATATCTGCTCACTTTTTCTTTGGTTGTCAATGCCATACAGCAAGTATACATGTATTTCCGTGGCAGTGGTAAGGCTGCTGAGATGAAACGGGAGGCTGCGATGGGAGCAATGAGAGCTGGCATATGATTAATCGTCTTGTGGAGAAAGGCAGCATGGATAACTTGTGAATGGATCGATGTGTATATTACAAGCCACAGAAATTGTGAACAAAAATATTCTACTGAGCTTGATTTTTGTTTACACCTGTTATTTATTTATTTGTTTTTCCCTTGTTTAGCATAATATCTGTTCATGTGGTTTGTTAGTGTATATTCTAAGCTGATAGCTTGGAGATAGTAGTGGCTGGTAGAAACATGCTCTAATTTATTGAAGTTGATCATCTATAAAGTTCTATCTTTCTTGAAGGTCCAGTATCAGACTTAAATTCTCATCTCAAATTTGGAATAGTGAAGGTTTCACCAAGGGTGCTGGAGCTATTCCATCAGTCGTTATCACATGAACTTTGGCTACGGAAGCACTGGCAAAGTGTCCTGGTCTTCAATTTGCTTATACCTCAGATTGTTCTGGCTCGTCTTTAATTAGCCAAAAGCGGTTGTTTTAAGATATCACAAATTCTCAATTTGACAATTTACGAACAGGACTGAATTTGCAGGATATCACAAAATTGATGGATGCATCTTAACAAAACTAGTAATCCAGTATGACCTAAGACAACTCAATTAGGCTGCACATCGATTATTCAAATTCTCTGATTTTTATTATTTTATTTATTAAGAAGAATTTGGATATTTTAGCTTATCTTTTACTAATTGATGCAAACCAGTATTGACATGGGTTAAATAAGAAGTAGAAGCCTATTTTTTTGTAAGACTAGAGCCTTTATTTGTTGCATTTGCACAAATATAAGCCTGTGTTTCTTTTAGACTTCGTCTATATTTTTATTGTAGTTCGCTTTCAGGTTTGCAATAAGTAGGAGGAAAACTTTATTTGATTTTCTTTTTAAATTGGATGTTGTGCATTTAAAAATTGCTGGTGGTTTCAGTTAGCAAATTGTCTGCCATTTTTGCTGCTTTAACTGGCTTGTTCACCCTCGTTTATCAATTCAATTAATTTGGACACAGCCGTGTGATATATTGTCTCCAATTACTCTACTGTTTACTCTACTGAAATCATAGCATCAAGGACCAAAATAATATATCAGCATAGAAGAATTGACGAATCCTTGTCTCTGTAGTTCTGTTGAGAAGCTTTGAGGTTTATGATCGTTTGCTGTACGATATGGACTTAAGTAATGATCTTCTATTAATCAAATTTTATGTTTTCATAATGAAAATAGAGGAATATAATAGTTATGCACTTCAGTACTCATTTTTTAAATGTTTTTTTTTTTTTTTGTCAAATATTCATTGATTAAAAAAGACTAATGACTTCACTTATCATTTATCTCTCCCTCAAAATATTAAACACCTTCAATCGCCTCAAACTTTCTATCACTTCAAAAGGAATTATTTGAAGATAAAATCCAACACCTTTCATGAGCAAGACCCTCAAATTATCCAAATTCTTATATTCAATAGGATACCTATTTTGTATACTTGTTCTTGAAAGGTCAAGGTATTCCAAGTTGATTAACTTGCCTACTTCTAAGAGAAGATGCTCAATTGTGATTCTTGACAGATACAAGACTTTAAATTTTGACATATATTGGAGATTTGAGTTCAACTGTTCCTACATTTAACATTTCACTTTGACTTTCTCCTTAGCTTTCATTTTAGTAGGTCAGTATTCGAAAGATTACTTTTCATTGATATTCAGTATCCTTTGTGTCTTTTCCTGGGGTCATTAGAATTGGTATCTAAGCTTGAGCTTCGAACTTTCTTTAATGTGAATGAGACTAGAGCACAAGAACATAGACGTATGAAGAAACAGAGAAGCTATTAAAGGAGACTATAGAGACTCCTTGTTTGATTTGACTAATATGGGGGCAGCTATCAGTCTAAGATTCGATTCAACTGGCGGTAGCGGTGGTGGTCAGATTGCACTCAATTTCCAGAACAACAATGATTTTGTTCAAACTCGATTTTCTAAATTAAATTTTCTGTCAATGGTGAAAATTCACGCGGCTGGTCTACAAATGCAACCGAATTTTTTGTGATGAGTATAGCCTCCATTCATTTGGAAGGTAAAGCTCTGGTTTCAAGAACACGAAGTAGCTAGTCCAGAAGCCAGGTGGACAAAATTTGAAGTTGACGGTTTCCCGGTCCTAATCTCTAGGAAAATCCGGTGGGACAACTAATAAAATTGAAATAGACTACTACTGATAAAGGCATATCAAGAACAATTTGAAACATTAATGATCAGGTTTACCTAAAGATTTTTTTGTGCAGTGCTTCATTAGTGGGTTGAAGAATGCAATCAAGAAACAGGTAACATTATTCAAACCAAATACCTTAACCTAGACCATTGGGTTAGCACTGCTACAAGAAGCTACAATTTTTAATGACTATATATTTCATTAAGAATAAAAGTACTAATTAAAAATTCATTATGTATGACCGCCCAACTAAGAGCCCTAAGTGAACCCATCCAATCCACTCAAGTAGATTATTTTTGCATAATCCATTTTAACTAGCTAGTTACTATATCTTTTTTTTTTCTTATTCTTATAAAATATAATTTGAGAAAGATATTGAATTATTTTCATAAATTAAATTTTAGAAATTATTAACAAATTACTTTCTAATTTAATTTTGAAAAGAGATTTTATTTGTTTTAGAAATTAGGATTTAGGGTATATCAAACACATTTCTGAAAAGGTAGTGCAAATAATAATTCCTGTCAAAAACTGTGAAAGGTTCGAAACTCAAAACGGGCACAACCTGCTTGTCTCCAAGTTCATTTATATATGTTATGTGCAATGGAAAGTTGGCAACCAAATGATAGTGATAGAGACCATGAGATAGTTAAATGATCCCCCTTAAACAGATTTCCTTGCTTCTTGTATATTTGTGAAAGCTTTGGGGCAATGTATAAAGAGGAGTATGAAAAGGGAAAGGAACTAATATTAGTGTATAGGTTCATGAAGATTGAAGCCCTCATAAAAGTGATTCATGCCTTAGTAAATGCCATTCAGAGTACAAAAATACATAACTTTTATCCACAATTTTAAACAGTAGTCCTGACAAGTCGGTACCAGTACATCAATAACTGATGTTTATGAGCAGGTGAATTTCTATGATACATACTCTGTAGGACAGAAAAGAAAATATTATGTATTATTCACATAACCACAATGTATATTATAATGATTAGAAACAATCTCAAAGACAAGAAGAGGACCAGCTAACATCAACAGCATCGATGATCTTTTCATGTAATGTGGGTCCAGAACAAGCAACAATACCACGATCAAGCCTTTCTAAATATAAACCTTTTGAGAAATCCAGGGGAAGCCCCCTAGCATCTGTTACCACACCACCAGCCTCCTCTATGATGATTGCACCTGCAGCATGATCCCATATTTTCTCCTTGTTACCAGCCCTTGCAAACTTCATGAAAACCTCAGCATCCCCACAAGCTATTGCCGCATATTTCAGCATGTTGTTGTATACTCTTAATGTCTGGTTACTGCATATAAATGATGAATAATGAATGATGATAATGTTATAGTGCAAGAACTATGCTAGAATTTTTTTGTCATTGGTGACTTTTTCATTGAGATAAATAAGAAAGTAACTGATCTCTAAGGAATATGTGCAACTCCACATTACATTTTTCATCTTGCCATCATATTCTAAGAACCTTTTATTTATTATTTATGCAGTATTCAATTAGCACAAATGATTGGATCTTTCTCAAGAATTTTAATATGCATATCATACTAATTGAACGCAAATATAAAAATTAACAGCAAAAATAAAAGAGCATAGGAATAAATCCCACGTTGGAATGTCTATGCATGACAACCACACAAGGTAAAAAGTGAAAAGGCATAGAGGGTAACTGATATTGAAAATAGAATGAAATGAAAATGCACCTGAGACCAACACTGAGAGCCAAACCTTCAGTAAAAGAGTGGCTTGAATTGGCCTTCTCAAGTGGTTGGCAGAATGTGGCAAATGCTAAGTTGTCAATGCAAGAGACAGAAACTTGTTTTGCATGGTTTGGCCACACAAACTTCTTATTGACATGGAGAAGTGGTTGGATCCAAGCTTTGCCACTACCCCTTTTAGCATAAATTACACAACCTTGATTCCAAGTTTCAGAGGTTGGAGGAGTTAACTTAGATATAATCCTTTGATAGCGGCGATGATAACTAAACCAGTCCTTTCTCATTGGGTAATTAGGACAGCCAAGAACTCCAAGCACCACTTCTCCATCCTCTATAAGGGATAAGGCCACAGCATATTGATCACCATCAAGAGGACCTAGTACCCAAAATCTTCCAGAAGGACCTCCAACTGAGTTGCAGCGACTAATGATTTCAAGAAATTCAGAACTTCCAAGAGGTGATTTTGGCTCTTCAATTCCAAATCGAGGTCCTTCAGCTAGACATTCATTCACAGTTTTAACAACAGCTTCTAACAGTTCAGATGTATTAGTCTTGGAGAGTGTCTGAACATCCTCTTCAGCTAGAATTGAGACATTTTCACCCCTTAAACATTCAAACAATATCCAACTAACAATCGCTTTGACACTCCAACCTATATGAATAACATAATAAAGAGTATAATTCAACCATTATTGTAAGTATGAAAATAAATTCAATAGCTGCCACGAATAGACTGATCAAATGTTCTCTCCAAAAAGGGAAAAAAAAAATTTAATTCACAAATTCAAGAGACTAATAAGCATTAACCACCACATTACCAAACTTGTGAGGAAATATAACTAAGGGAACAGCATAAATATATGATCATGGAGTAACCTACGATTAAGCATACATAAATACTTTACCAAGAGCAAAGAGGATACGGTATATTATTTAAATTTGTTTTAGAAATCATTAATAACTAATATATTTTTCATTTTAGACTGAAACTAATTTCAATTTAATGCTCATACCAGCACCCAAAATTGGAGATGTAAAATGAACACGCGAAAGGTTCAACCAATAAATTGAAAAAACTACCTCATCTGTTTCAATAGAGAACAATGATATCAATTTTTTTGAATAATTTTTCTCCTTTCTACAGCTGATGGGCTACTTCCAAAGTGTTAAAGACACCTCGATGAGATAAGCAACTAAGCATAGCAAGTACTTTCAAAAAATGAGAGGTAAAATAAATCAGTTTTTTTACAAAAATTAAAATCAAGTTGCACTTCAACTTTAAGAGAAGTTAAATGAAAACTTTTGAAAAAGAAGAGTATAAATTGATTTTAACTTTTAAAAAAATTTAATTTATTTTTAATCTGTATTCTTTTCTCTTATAAGTTTATCTGAAGTGAGTCACAGTGTGTTTAAGACAAAGACCTATGACCTCTCTTTGTCAGTGCATTAAATTCTCTTTCCAAGGAGTATCAAGGACGATATTAGAGAGCTCTTATGTGTTAAATACAGTTTTCCTTCTATTAGCATTTTTTTCTTCTTTTTCCCGACTTTTTGTATTCTTTTGGTGAGGATGCTTATCCTCCACCTTTCAATTGTCTCTTCTTTTCCTTCTAATATAATTTCTTCTTTTATAATAAAAATTAAAAAAAAAGGTAGGTTTTATATATCTCTTTACTTCTTCATTTGGTGGGCAAGGGAGCAGTGAACGGCAAAAGAGAAGTCATATATTCATGAATCTTGTTAAGTATAATATTTCCAATCAGCAGACTTTAGGGTAAGCAATTGAATGCAGTCAAATGACAAATCAGTTTGCTTATGGAACAGGACAGATTAGTAGACCTTGATCCAATTTCATGTTCTTCATACATTGAGTAGGAGAATTATATGGCAGTATGAGCTGATGAAACCAACCATATGGTCTCCAGAAAATTCTTCTAACACTTCTAATGCACAACTTTTTCTGCTTGATAGATATGTTGCACTTAAGTTTTTGTTGAGTCTTTTGGTAGCAGTAATACATGATAGTACTGCAATTACTAGTGTCTGAAAATCCGTGTAGCGTCCAAATTTAACAGCGACTTTTTTACCTATAATTTTTCATTGACTTCAAATCATTTTGATTATTATGTCCTTTGTGTATCAGACAATATTTGCATTCCTCTCTTGTCACTATTAAGCAACAATCAAGAAACCACTTGTCATAATTTGACGGGATAACATATCAACAAAGTCCCAAATAGTAAGATTAATCTTCCCTTTCCGTTTAATAAGTTGTGAACTTTAAAGGCAAATCTAGTAATCAATATACCTTATTTTTCTATTCTGTGTGCACTTATATAAATACATATTATTAAATATTTTAAAAAATGAAATTAGTTTTTATATTTTTTAATATAACAAATTTTTATTTTAATAAAAATATCTTTTTAACTTCTTATCACACTTTATATTCACAAAATGTAAGAGTTTATATCTATAAAAGACAAAATTTAGATCAATTTACATTTGTGGCATTAAATTTTCACATTAAATCATGACGTATACACATATATCATAAATTGATTTACTAATTGAAGCTATTTAATATTTTTTGGTTTAAACCCAAGATATTACTTAAGAAGAAAAAAAAAAAATATATATATATATATATATACCACTTCAATCAACTGTTGATTAGTTGATACTGTACTATTTAATGTTTGAAAAAAAAAAACTGATATCATAATTTAATTTGCGAAATTAGTGGCCAGAAATTTTTTTAAAAAAAAGAGCTTTCATATAATTTTGTCAATATGTAAAAGCAAAAGGGTCAACAACATTCACCTGCAACTGTGATTGGAAAATTGTCATTGTGGCTCTGAGGCTTGGAAATCAAAGTGTCTTGCATTTTCTGATATAGGGAGCATACCATCTGAACTGCTCTGACAGCAACATCTAACTCTTCGGAATATTCCTCTGCTTCCGAGACCAGGCCAAACATTTTGTGCTCCTCCTCCATCACAGGAGAAGAAAAATTTTGATCAAATTTTGACACAAACGCAATGTGGGTTAGGAGGGTGTTGGGGGATTTATGATGAAGGGACAAAAAACTAGAACAAAATACGTGAGATGTTTTTATATGGCTGTGTGTGAAGTTGTCACTACCCCTCCCAAGTCCTAAGATACGTGGAATGTTCGCACTCAAGCTGGAACAAATTAAAGGCATGTCAAGTACACAACTTCACCCTTTATTTATTTGGTTCGTGGTTAGTAATTGGTGGTTACCAACAGTGTGGGGATATTGGCTTTGTGACGTTTGAAATAAGAGAATAGCAAATTTCGGATTGTCAAATTATGGGCATAACTATGATCTGCCTACGAGAGTATTTATAGGAACCAGTTTACTACCCAAAAAGAAGAAATAAACATATCACATCTCTTTTTCATCAAAATAAGAAAATTGCATTAAGATTGGAATTTTCTGTTGACAGATGTTGTGCAATTAAAAGAAGGAGAAAGGACAAAGAAGGAAATGAAAAACAAGGGGAAGGGACAAAGTTTCAAGTCAGAAAAGTATCATTGGTGAGAAGACTCGTTACTTTGTTTTTTCTTGAGCTAGGAAATTTAATCCAACAACTCAAGGGCGGTGAGGATATCTTTGATATCAGAAAATGAAAACTCGCACCTTTCAATCATGCAGGATGCTTTTTTGGGTGTAGAAGTACTTTCAGATTTTAAGTTCTAATAGTATCCTCGTATATGTCTTGTAATTATTTGTATTTTTTAAATTAAAGTTTTAAAATTTACTGTGATGGAAAGCTTGTGCTTGAAGAAAGCTTTTGGCTTATAAATTTGAGTTAGTGATGGTCATGTTAGCGAATTTATTTAAACTTTAATACACTGTATATCATGTTAGGAATTCTATGTTAAATTAGAAAATAATAAATTTCTTTTTATTATTACAACATACAAAAAGTTGAAAACTCAAAACTAAGTAACTATAACGAGAAAATTATAGATAACTTTCTTATGTGAAGTTTCTTACATTATACATATAACTATGTTTATTTATGGCTCAACACAATGTACTTGTCTTTTTTTTCTTTTAACTCTCTTATATATATCTTCCTTTCTCCCCTGTTTTCACAAACAAAATAACATATATTGACTAAGAATTAGATGACATAATAGATTCAGATTTGAGTTTCTTTATTTGGATTTTCATGTGAAAATTAAAAAAAAAATGAAAGATGCATAACTTGATAAACAAGAAAGTTAGTGAAAGACTATGGTTGATGTGCGTGTAAATGTGCCAATGACAAATACACCTTATTGCACAAGTAATATCGGAATCAAGTCTCACATATTATCCTACAAAGACTGATTAATATTTATTAATATTGCAAAACTCTTATGATTAAACCACGAAATTAAGATATGGAAAAAAAAATATTAAAGAAATTCAAGAAACAAATAAAGAATCAAGAAAAAGCAATCAATAAGAAAAAATTTAGTAAAAACTAAGAGTATGTTTAATTTCTATTTCAAAAAAGGTTTTTTATTTTTAAAAATAAAATGTAATATAAATTTGTATTACATTTTAATTTTAAAAATTGAAAGTTATTTTTAAAATACAAATCAAACATACTCTAAATCTCTATGTTTTCTCTAAATCTCATCAATCCTGTAACAAAGTAGAAAAAAAATGGTGAAAATTAAAGTAAAATATCTAATAAATAATAAAAATTTCCACAATTTCTCTTTTATAATTACGAAAGGATGAGAGCTTATTGGTAGTTCTACCCCACTCAACCTAGATTAGTTGGATGCCCAATGTATCATTTAGATACTAATAATCTTAGACTAATAAAAAAAAAGTTAGTGAGGGAGATGAAAAGATAGTGATTGATTAGGATAGTAAGAAGACAACAAATCAAAAAGTTAAGAATAATCCTTCTTGTCCTTTATTTTTATAAATTATTTTTAATTATCAAATTAAATTATTTTTTTTTAAGATTACAGATATATGTAATTTTTTTATTTAATATTTATTTTATAAAACAATGAAAAATTATTAAAAAGATAAGTAAGAAAATATACTAAAATTTCACCATTAATATACAATGAATGATATCAAAATTAAGAAGACAAAAATATAATGAAGTATCATAATTGACATATAAGCTTTTTTATTGATTTGGCAAAATGATGTTAACAGAAGATATGAGGTGTCAATACTATTCGTATTTTAGATTTAATAGACTTAATTGTATATTTTATAATTTTAGTTTCGATTATGTATAAGTTTAGTTCTCCAGTTTTTTTTTTTTTGTGCTAATTAAATTTATATATTTTAAAAATTAAGTAAATTTAATTATATCATTAATTCTTTTATCTAAAACCTTTAAATTTTTTTTTACTCAAAATTTTTTCAAATCGAATCTATTAGATTGTTTTAATTCACATATTCAAAACTTTAAATTTCACCCAGAAAAATAAAAAAGAATCTCAAATTTTTACATCTACAAACCTTAATCTCATTCTATAAATCCTTCAAATTTTATTGCATATTTACTAAATTACTGACTTATTAACTTTTTTCATAGTTTAAATTTATAATTTTCTAACTTTTACAAAAAAAAATAATTTGAAGATTTTAAGTAGAAGAAAATCAACAACATGACCGAATTTATTGAATTTTAAAATAATAGAAATTAATCAACAAATAAATTGAGGAATCAATATTACCCATCCTCCAAACAAAGCAGTGATATAAATAGATTAATTTCTGTATTATATTTTTATCATGATTGTGTGGATTGGGGAAGAAATATGACCTTAAATTATAAACATGTAGCATAAAATTACATCAAGTTTTTAAACTGATAATGTGGACATCTTTTAATTAATGAGTTATGCATACGTTAACAGGCAGAAGTTAATGAAAATTCAAGTAGTTAATATCAGGCAAGAATTACTGAAAAAAATTACTTAAAGTCCGTCCTACATGAGCTTTATAAATTCAGATATAACGTATAATATACATTCAAGTACAAAATTTCTCCAAAACTTGACTCATGCATACACATACACCATTCCTATTAGTTCAGTTTCACGGCTATTTTTGTGTATGCCATAGTCTTGTGTAAGATTCGAGTCATAATGAGCTCATCATCAACAAAATATATATTCGCAATCAAATTTTTTCATTCATAATACCAATCATAACTCCAAGTTATTTTTCAGTCTATGGAAATATAACTAATAAGTGAGCCAATTGGGTCAATAATTATGGCTGATGACAATAACCACCACTGAAGCAGGGACCAGAGAGAAAATTTATGAAGGCATAGAGTATCTAAAAGCAAGATGTCTATCGGCATGTTTGATTGATTAGGGAAGCCATGTAATGTGCATGAGTTTTGTTTACAATTGAAGGCACCCCATTGGTGCTTTACTGATTTGTGAGATTCAATCTATTTCTCTTGGGGAATTTATCACTCATCACTGTAACTTGATTTAACACTATTGCTTATTGCGTGCACGATTAAGAGAGTCTGAAAAAAGGAAAAGGAAAGAAAAAAACAAAGCGCTACTGTTAGCGGAAGCTAAGAAAACTCATTTGATAATGCCATACACATAGTGGCATTCTTATAAGGAAGAAAAAACAAACACGCACAAAAACAAAAGCTAAAATAGAAAACATTATTCGGATCAGTTGAAGATTCTGGAGTGCTGGCTTTTTATAGTAACATTGATGTGAAGCGCTTTTTGCTTAGATAAACAAATGATTTTATTCCTAATGACGTTAAGCATATGAAAATATGATGTCATCAACTCCCCCTTATATTGAAACAAATTTCAATGATAAATTTGATATTAAAATATGTGCTACGTTGAAAATAAATTGATTCTATAAACTTATCAAACGGAAACTTATTTAGTAATTGTATCTGAAGACTTTCATTTTTAAAATTAACAGATAAATACTCTAACTTATTGGAGAGATTATATAATATTAACACAACTTTTAATTCATAATCGTTTTATCAAATTTTGTAGTTAAATTTTTATTTTGGATCAACATAATACCTAAGTGTAGTTCAATGGTCAGGTTGATTGGGTTCTTGATAATCAACAATAAAATCCCATTGAAAGTCATTTGTCCCTCTCCCGTTTCTCCTTAAATGAGTTGGACAAAAAGTACTCCATCCCATTTATTTGTAAATTTGTAATGGCGTGTGTTAATATTTCAGAACTCCATACATTATTTATAAGTAAACTATCAAAATATATTAGCCAGTCTCAGAAAATTACTGAAATTACAGGCTTACTGTGACACGTTAAAAGAATTTACAGACACGATATAAAGTTAATTGATATAAAGTTATCAGTATAAATGTGTTAAATGTTTGCACAATGATGAAATTCATTTTGACACATTAAAGTTAAGACTCGAGTAATATAACATAGAATTGCCACTAATGCTTTGAGCTCAATCAACGTTACTTCCTAGTCTTACAGATTGATCGCAAGAATAAAAACCAGTTGAAACAGTACCGTCCTCAACCCTTTATTTCTTCTTGTAGTTTTCATTAGATTGTTTTCATTGTAAGAAAAAAAATAATCAAAGATTATAAACTGATTTTTTAAAATTTACCAAACAAAAATCAATCATCGTTTTTCACATAATCAACAAAAATAATTGAATACAAGAACACTTAAAACTCAGCAATCACATAATATGTTTGCTGCCTTGCAATTAATAGCGGAAGATGAGGTAACTCTTTTTAACTTAGTAATGAATTTATAATTACATGCAAAATCCCGTAAGATAAAACAATACTTTTTATTGGTTTATTGTCTAAATAACATGTATCGTCTTTTATTTAAATTAGATAAAACTATTGTGTGCGATAAAATTTATCTTCTAAATATTTAATATAATTACTTTCATTAGAACTTAAACTAAAAATCACGTATTAAAATAAAAGAACACGCGATAAATTGATTCACATGGTCAATACAATTTTTTATTTGTGAACCTTTTCTTTTTTTTTTTTTTTTTTTTGCAAAACAGAACATGGATGAACCTCACAAGCTAGCCGAAAAATTTGGTTGAACTAAGTCCAGTAGGATTTGGGCCTTCTTGATCATGGTTAGGCCCGATATCTATAATTCAATTACACTAGTTAAGAACAAAGTTAAAAGAATTTACTGCTTTCGTTTTGTTTATATGTGTCTTGTAAAGAGATTTTTTTGTTTTTTATGTCATCAAAAAACTTTAAGTTAATATTAATTATTATTTAATCATTATACCCTATCGAAGAAGAGAGAGAAAAATAATACGTG